CATTCTCCTCGGTGGACACACTTCCCGAAAACAAACCGGGAAAGGTTGAGCGTTGTTATGTAATGCCACTGCTAAGAAAAAAAAAAAAGAAAATCATTGCTTTGCCCTGCTTTTCCATTAATGGCTTTCGCAGCTCCATAACTATTAACTCCACTCTGCCAATGCAAAAGGGGGCAGCTTTGGTGCGTTTGAGGGGGCTAGGTGACAGCGGTATTTTCGGGATTTCCTGGGTGATTTCAGGTGTGTCAGGGTTTAAGTTAAAGGCGTACCAGCGGAGGAGGAGGAGGAGGAGGAGGAGGCCTAGGACAGGAATGAAAACTTGCTGTTTGCCCAAATGTCACCGTCCCAAACGGGACATGGTCGCCCGCTGCCTGACATCCCCTCGTCGCCTCTGCTGTCAAAACAAACCAACCTCTTCTTCAGCTAGAAGTCTCAAATGATTCCCACCAGGGAAAAACACACACACACACACACACACACACACACACACACACACACACACACACACACACACACACACTACCTGCGAAATCACAACATTAAAAAAAACTGTAGGCCACAAACACACCGTTACACCTACTTACTAGCCTTTAATCTCCTCTCGAGACAGGAAACACGGCGCAACTTAACTATATTAGCTTTTTTTTTTTGCTTTTTCTTAGCCTGCTGCTATCATACAACAATTTAATGAGAGGAGGGGGAGAGGGGAAAAAAAACTTACGATGCATTTCCTGCCAAGGTGGTTGAAAAGGCATTCATTTTCCTGCGGTGTCAGTAGTATCGAACCGACATTTGTTTGCCGCCGTTGCGACGGATGTCCACTCATTATTGGTGATCAATTTATAAAGTATGCACCGACTGTAACTCGTTGTATGGGAGCCAAAAAGATACATAAACAATCCCTCGGTCATCCGTGGCCTTCCTCCGACCCCCTCGCACCGGTTCGGTTTTATCCCGGGGGCCCTGCGAGAGTGGGGTGCCGCAAAATGTATGCGGTTTAGGAGAGCAACGCGACGTCCCGCTCCTCTTTAAAATAAGGTCAAAACTGCAGCGACTGAGCGAGGACGGAAATCGGTAAAAACTTTCCTGGGAAGTCCGGCCGCCAGAGAGCCCAGAGCCAGTTCCATCCAACATGGCAGTGTTAGGACGAGTCCACTATCTGGGAATGGGGGGCGCCTGTTTCCCAGCGGTGTCCCACATAATGACCAAATGGGAAAAAAACAGCAAGGGAAACGGTGTGAAGTTTATTAAAAGGGTATTTTAATGTGCAGGTATATTCTGTTAAAATCCGCGGTGAGGGATTTTCCACTTTACACATTACAATTCTCAGCTCACTCTCCACGGAGATGGTCTGGTCCTGTCCGCCCGTGGCTTTTATGACAGGAATGTGTGCGAGTGCAGAATGGGAGGAGATAAGAAATGAGGTCCAAGTTGCCAAGATAATAGCATACAATGCTCCCTGTGAGAGGAATTATTGAACTGAGAATTAACGCTGTAAGATAAGACTTCCACTTTAAATGAACACTTTAAGAAGTTCATAAAAGAACCGTGGAAAATTACCATTTCCCTCTTATAATGATGATATGCTATTTTATTGAAGTCAGAGAGGTTAGGGTCATGGCTCAGACACAGACTTGTTATCTGATTTCCTACATGATAAACACTCCCTCGGATATTAAATGATTCCTCCCCTGAACTGAAATGCTACTGGTTGTCTCCTTTCATTGCAATACACTATAAATAGCCTATAAATAAAGTGAAGTAGAATTAAGACTGCTCCAGTTACTATACATAGCCTCAGGGGTATAGCATATGCTTCAAAACGTGTATGTTGCTGTGTGTTTCTCCAGAATCCTGGTTCCCTAAAATATAAAAAAAACATTATTGTTCTTCATGTACAGCACAGTGTTCAAATATTACTATTAATAAACCATAATCCTTATTTCACACCAGACATTTAACTCTTCTCAAATAGCGCTCAACAATTAAATATACAAATTTAGAGGCTATATTATGAGTAGCCTTGAACAAAGGCAGCATATACGGCTCATACTTATTTTAATAATGAGCCTGAGGGTGTTTGTAGTCCTCTGCAACATGCTCTGTCAGGCTAATAAATGGGTGTTGTTTGCGGGATGGCAGTCACTGAGTGGTGGTACAAAGAAAAGACTTTCCCTTTGTGATAAATTCACTCCAGAAGTCTTTCTGCTATTGCCCACATGTGCACAGCTTGTATACAAAATTTACACATTTTGATGTAATTATATTGCACAGTCCTACATATAAAGCAGCTTTATGTCAGACATCGAAAGCAGGTCTGTGCCTTTATTCACTCACTGTGGTGGGGGGAATGTTTGGAATCAAAAGCGCTTTGATTTGCTATTTTCACATCACGTACAAGGAATTTGATATAGCTATTATTGCTGCTAAAACATATACAGCTATTAAAGTAAAAATTATGTACCCCTGTAACAGACTTTGTGGAGAAAAATTTCTTGTCTTATTATTTATGTAGCTGATGAATAAAGGGATTCTGATTTGATTCATGCAGAGATTCACTTGAAATAAACTCTTCTATAATCTTCATGACCCAAATTACAAGCACTTTGAGACTCTCCTATATTCATCGTCAATGAAGACCTCATATTCAAATGCCACTTCTGTTACTCAATGTCAAATCTTTGCCCACCTTTATTTCACTGTAGATGTTAACCGCCAAATAATGTAAACACAGCCCATCAGACTGGTGTGAAATGTCACCTGGCCATTTCCCCCCTTTTTCTTGTTCGGTCAGTATGGTGATGATAAACTTCCTGTGGAGCTGACAGAGATGACAGACCCAACCTGTTGTGAATGGCTCTGCGGAACATAGTCCATACATGGTTATTTCTTCATTTTAGTTAGTTGGAATATGGATGCCAGACCATGTTTTGTTACAGCATATTAACCTTGGTAAAAAAAATAATATCAGCATCTTATTTTTCCATGTAATACTCTGTATATTTGTGTTATGGTATTGACCTACATATGAACAATTCACTTTCAGAAGCAATTAAATAGTACATAATTTCTCTCACTGTTTTGGTAGTATCTAACCCCTATCAATGCTTTAAAATCTTAAAAAAAAAAAAAAACAATACTTAATTAGAGCGTGAACTTAACATGTCCACTACATGCCCTTACACTTACTTCCAGTTACTTCTACCTGGTTCAACCTATTTCCCTGCTCTTCAGCAGAGTTGTGTCTAACTTGAAAAACCCGCCCGACGGGTAGAGAAACACCTCAGGACACTCACAGCATCACTCCACCTAGCCTTGGTTTAGCGAGGTATAGAAATGTTAGAGATGACTCACCCTGAACAAGCAGTCATAAGAAGACTTCATGCAGAAACATGAAAAAACTGGCATTTTGAAGCAGTGAACAAGAGGAAAAACAAGCAGATGGACAGTGAGTGGGAAATAATTGGAAGGGAAAGTGAGCTACTTTTCTGATACTATTGATTCGCAAGGCACAAAACCTCAACTTTACAGTGAATAAAAGAGAACTTTCTAGTTGAATTAGTTTATTAGTTTAGGCTTCTAAACTTCTCAGCTTGTATTGTGAACTTTCCTGTGCAAAAACCCCCAAATTTTCCAATGGCTGTCATAATGTAACTAGATAATTACAGGGAAGTAAGGAAGTAAATTGTTCACCCACTGACGAATGGAGGTGAAGGACACAGATGCCCTATTCAACAAATTCAGTGATACTGACCGCCAGTACTGCTTGGTATGCACTTACTCACACAATAACAAGAAAACTGAACTGGGAACAGATACTGTTGCTTGTTTAAGATGGCCTTACTGACATTTCTGAGCAGTGTGAACACGAATATGCGAGGTGTGACCATGAGCAGGAAAGGCTTCATTTAGATATGCCTGTATGTGTTTGTGATGCTTCATGTCTGTTTATGTAAATGTATATTTAAGGAATGGAAAACTGTATGGGGTTATTTGTACCAGTGCAGACACACCTTCTGGGGCTACCCTTTTGTTTGACCCACTTTCCACAACAAAAGAAAATTGAGGTTATAGGAGAAGGAGGGAAGAAGACAACATGAATATTATATTTTGAATTCTGGAGGAAGACATCCCCTACAGGCTGCTGTATGAATATTTAATAAAGTTGGCCTTTTTCATTTCTCATTAACTTTCATAGTTCCTGCTATGCTTATTCATCTACTTTTTAAAATAAATTCTCCAATATTAGCTTTTTTATTGTAAAACACTGGATGCTTTATCTCTTCAGACCTCTAACAACTATTCAAATGACATAATCTGAAAGGGGAACAGCAACCTTTGGTTAAAAGTCTCATAATTTATAGACTTCCCTTTAAATCAGGGGTGTCAAACTGATCTGTGAAAGGGCCGTGTGGCTGCAGGTTTTCGTTCCAACCATGCAGCAGCACACCTGACTTGGTTCATTCAATCAACTGAACTGTCTTCATACAGTCAAAAACTTGCAGCCACACCCACGCTTTAATCAAGGGTGGCTGTTTTTGTTCCAATCAAGCAAGAGTACACGTGAAATGACTGTGTGAAGACAGTTCAGTTGGAATGAAAACCTGCAGCCACACCGGCCCTTTCATGGATCAGTTTGACACCCCTGCTTTAAATGGTAGCAAGCAAAAAAGGGAGTCACTGGATTACACCATCAGCTGCACTATGTTATAACATGTTACATATTTGTTATGGTGTTGTACTCCTCCTTTAGGCAAATCTGTGTATTAACAGAACTGCTTACACAATAACACCTGAGAGATAGAGATTAATTGAACAGCATTTGTTGAAACCTGCACAGCTTTACAGTTTAACCACAAGATGGCAGCATTACACCAGATATTACATCACTGATTCTGGCTGGTGCACTCAGCACATTGGTTACTGTATCAAATTACATGTTGGCCAAAACACAATACCCTATTGTACATAATTTCACCTGCATGCACCGTAACAAACAATTAGGAGAATGAGGAGATTGGTGAATTTGAGGTGAAGAGTTACTGCTCTTCTTTGGGAGCAATTCAGCAATTTGGCAAGTGTTCTGGTGCCTGAACAATGGAGGCTACAGTGCTGCAGTGTCATTGTTTGGGAGGAAAACAATGCAGCTCACACAGCTATGCAAAGCAGTGAGTAGACATGTACTTAGGGTTTGTTGGTTGGAGCTTCCTTTAAGGTTGTGTGCTGTGGTATTTCTTGACAATGACCAGCTATTATGCATGTCTGGGAATAAGGAAGTCTCATGTGTCTTTTTTTCCCTCAAAGTGTAAACCATACCTGGTCAGCTTGAGATCTGATCTATCAGCAGACTGTAGGGCTCCTACCAGTCAAGAATGATAGAAAAAAGATAGAAGGGGTATGAATACACTTGCATCAGTTATACATTTTCTTTGTTGTCCCAATAAATCCATGGTTAAAACTTGAGACTTTGGTACAAAACCTTCTGGTTTTATTGGGCAGTTGAAAGTACTGCACTAATCTAATGTAATCCAATCTAATTTAATCTAAAATAATCCAATCCAATCTAATCTAATCTAATCTAATCTTTAATCTAATCTAATCTAGTCTAATATAATCTAGTCTATAGTGAAGTGGTGGAGTGCAGCATGTGCAGGTTTTTTAATTTTAGTGTATTTTCTGTATTTGTAATAAATATAACTGCCATCAAAATTCCCTCTCTCTCTTTTCTCTGGATATATGTATGTATCAAGGGACAGAGTATGAGAATGTGTTTGGTGTGAATTATAGTGTAACTACTGTAACACAACGTTGTTTACTTAACTAAAGTTTACTTCTAGAATTATTCTGACAGGAACACACACCACTCTCCTAAAAACAACTAGTAGGGTCAAAGGTCACTGTCCCACTGTTCACACTGTGTCACTAACTTGTGAAATAACCACCACCATTTGGTTTTACATGTCCCTGACCAGACACATAAACACATACAGTGTAAACAGTCCAATGTATAAATCCCAGACAGTGTGCAATTACTTGTAACATGGAGGTGAAAAGTGCTATTATTAGATATATTTTAGTTATATTTGTCTATAAACTAAAACTCATTTGTTTAACACTTACACTCTCATAGAAAGTGCTGTTATTAATGTACCTGTATCTGTATACAACTCCTCTCTTGGCACCTAGGTGTCAAACCTTCCTGTCTCCTAACTGCTGGGGGAGAATGTAAAGATTTTGGCTGCTGACTGGTAGCATGTATATTATTATGCAATTATTTTTCCAAAAGTTCCATTTGCTTGAATCCTTGATGGGAAAGAAAAGGCAGCCGGAAATGTGCTGCATAAAGCATTACTTGATAAATATTGCATAAAAAAAGTGGAAAGCGGTCCTGCATCTGACCTATTTTTCTTTTCAACATGTCGCCTTATAGAGAAGGAATATATTTAATCTGTCTTACTGCACTATAATATTGAACCTACAACCCTCCCAATCACAATAATTGCTTTTACTGTATGAGCTGTCTTAGCTCCAAAGAGGATTACGTCAACTGTGCATGTAGTTTTGAAATATTGAGGTATGAATGTCATCTTATTGAGAAACTAAAAATCCCATTCGCTTCCATTATTATAATTTGATTGTTCATCCCATCCCAGGTGACAAGCACTAGCATCAGCACCAGGGGAATAACAGTCTAAGCTCCATTCTGATGCCCAACTAAGCGTCTTTCACTACGAGGACGTGAATGCGTGCTCCACAACCTCACACCCATGTGTGCCTTCCTCCTCGGCTCCCAAAAGTCAAACTTGGCACAGGGCGATCAAAACAAGACGTTTTCTGTGAGGCAAACAACGGAGAGCAGAGTGCATCCTTGTACCAGCTCTGCCCACCATGCCTCTCCTCCCCTACCTATATCAGACAGTGTCTTTTTGTGGGGATACGCTCACTCTCTTCGCTCGAGTCCACACATCTTATGGTGAGGCGGTTCTACTGAAGGCATGTCCAGGTAGGTGTCTTTTTATCTCTGTAAGTTAGTGTTGAGTTGGTATATTGTGGTTTATGAATGTCATGGTGGCCTCATCTTGGTTTAGAAATGCTTAGATTTGAGAGATTTGTGGTTTGTGTTCGCAAGGCGTTGACAAATTGGATTAGAAGTGTGGGGAGAAAACTCTGACTTATATGAGAGAAAAGGAGAGACTGCAGATACTCCAGCCAATCGGACAAGTAGAAAAGTCAATGTATAATCTTAGCTCTACACCTTCTTTAAATACAAAAAAACATATTCCAGTGTGCTATGAATATCGTAACAGAGGTGCATTGTATTGCTTGTTTCATTTTAGCATCATTCGTTAACAATATGTACATATTTAGGATATCAGACTGCAGTGTTTGATATTGTTTTTCTCCAGCCAGGAGAAAGGATGGTTTCAGTCACACAGAAGAGCAGAAGCTGTGTGCTGCTGCTTCTCTCACTCGCCCCATCAGTCTTCCCCTCCCTACCCATCTCTCTCCTCCCTGCTCTCACCATCTCTGCCTGGCCTGTTCTTTCATTATCTGTCCTGACCCCTCCTGCTCGTAACACAACACACATCTCAACCATCATTTCCACCGCGTTTACCACTCCTGCAGTCCTAAAATCATCCACCTCCACCATCAGCCCAACGTCTTCGACAGAAGCCTTTATCGCAGCTCTGTATTCCTCAAAATCAACGTCAGCTACCTCTGCGATGTCAGTAGCGCCTGCCGACCAAACATCCCCCGGAGACCTCCTCGTAACCTCACCCTCAGCTGCTACACAAACAGTTTCCCCTCAGTTTGGCAAAAAAGCCTCTCTGAGCACTGATCCAGTCTATTGTCACCCTGCATGTCACCTTCCTCCTAAACTCCTAAAACACATTTCCCCTAATATCTCCGGTTGGCTGCCTCACCCCTGCAAACGTCTGGCTCTATCTCTCAAAACTATAGCACCACCTCTGCACAAAAACCTTCCATGTCATTTGTCCAGAAAGACTCTCTACCCTGTGTCTTCTGATAAACTTCGCACTACTAAACTATTTCCCTCCTCCAACTCAACTATCCTTCCAAAAAGTTTGCCATCTTCTTCTCCCCCTCAAACTGCTTCACACAAGCTCCTTTCTCCTGTTTCAACGTCATCCTTTCCCACAGCATTCTTGCCTTTAACCTCTCGAACATCACCAGCTCCTCCTGCCCCCGTCCCTCTCCCCAAAACCTTGGCCTCTCATCAGCCCCGACCACCTTCCTCACTCCCCCACACTACAGGTCCGCTGTTCGAGCGCCATCCTTTTATTGTTAGTTGGAACATCCCTGATCTGGTGTGTAACAGATACAACATCTCACTGGACACCAGAGCCTTTAAAGGAGTGGCCACGCCTGCTAAGGTAAGGGGACAAAGATTTGAATGTTTTCTGTTAAAAGTTAAACTATTAAGGTTTAAAGTTAAATTCTATTTTATTAATATAGCTGCAAAACACATGCTGTGATCAAACTGTGTACAAATATGTAACCTGACAAATCTCTCTCTCAAAAGCTCATTTCCTTTACATAAAGCTATTATGCATTAATTAGAGCTATTATGAGGATTTTTGGTCTTGTTTCTACACGATGCCAAGACAGTAAAAAAAAAGAGGAAGGAGGCCATTTTCAATGGTGGTTATAAACCTGCTCCTCCTCTTCAAAATACCATGTCATACTTATTTAAAGGGAAGTTGATTCACTTTGTCAGGCTTCTGCTGCAGGTCCCAGGCCAGTTCCTGTCTCTGTTCTACACGGACCGTTTGGGTCTTTACCCACATGTGGACCTCTCTAGCGGGAAACAGTTCAATGGCGGCATCCCTCAGAGAAGTAACCTGAAAGCCAGTATGAACAAGGCCAGAGCAGATATTAACTATTACATCACATCCAAGTGAGCCTCCCTCACATTCAAAAATCATGTTGTTTGACACATTTGAGGCTGATCTTTAACCTCTTCTTTATCCTTCTGCCTTTCCATCAAGGACAAGCCGAGGCTTGGCTGTGATAGACTGGGAGGAATGGCGCCCCCTATGGGACAGGAACTGGGGCACTAAGAAAATCTACCAGACTTTATCTGTGGCCCATGTTATGCAGACAGAACGCTCCCTCCCAGTGCAGCAGGCCACAGAGAAAGCCAAACAACAGTTCCAGGTCAGAATTTACTCTGCAAAGAATTATAATACAATTGATATAGTTCTGATCAGCTATTAAATATTTATGAGTAACTCTTCTTCCATCCTTTTTTGCCCCCATTTTAGGTAGCAGCTAAGAGTTTCATGTCAGGGATGTTGGCAATAGGCAGAGCTATGAGACCAAACTATCACTGGGGCTTCTATCTTTTTCCTAACTGTTACAATTATGGCTGGGAGAAGCCAGACTACACAGGCCAGTGCTCCAAGGAGGTGAGGAGGCAGAATGATGAGCTGCTCTGGCTGTGGGCGTCCAGCACTGCCCTCTACCCCTCCGCCTACCTGCAGGTTGGTTACACCATTATCCCAAATATTATTTCCAGTATTTAACTCCATCAGATTTCTTTTCTCCCGCTTCGTTGCACTGTTTTCAGGTCTCTCTGGCAGACAATCCCAGAGCCGCCCTGATGGTGAGAAACCGTGTGCAGGAAGCTTTGAGAGTATCTGCCCTGCCCAGACGGAGTGGCACTACTGCACCCGTGTTTGTTTACATGCGACCTGTCTTTGTCGACCAGAACAGACGCTTCCTCAGCCAGGTAATTTAAATGTTCATTTGTTTAATACTGCATTCTCAGATGTATTGTGTAATTGTATGAAGCATGAGATGTCACTGGGAGAACTAATCTTACTCTATAAATCAATAATAAATCCACAATTCAAACAGATTACATTTTTGAAACGACCACACACTTGACTAGATTAGGTACATCTTAGGTTACTTCTTCCCCACAGCAGTGAGGTGTTTCCAGCCTGAGGTCCAGTTTTAAGAGGAGTTTGGTTTCTTGGTGTAACAACACCCTGCTCAGGTGGTGACCCTCACCTGTAATCCTTACCCCTCGCTTCTCACCTTTTCAGGAAATAAGAACAGAGTTAATGTTTTTGCTCCATGCATGTGCACATAATGCCGTGCCAGTTTCTGTGAATCTGTGCAAAAGCAGTGATGAACATGTTTAACCATTTGTGTCCAGGGAGACTTGGTCAGCACCATTGGCGAGAGTGCAGCTGTGGGAGCGTCTGGCGCTGTGCTGTGGGGGGCCAGCGCTGACTATGATGACCAGGTAATATCACACTGTAGACCTCCACTGGACTACTGAAAGACATGACAGCGTACTGATGGCAGGTAGTCAGACCAAAGACAATGTGTTCAGTTAGATGATATAGGAGTCTGCTTGTCTGAGACTGACTGACAATCCCTCAGTGGCTCAGATACTGATGGATCGGTTGCTTGTGCAACAGTATTAGTTAATCCATGGCAGGAAAGCTTGATGATAGTGACTTTCACTGGATGTTTAAAGTCTTCTGAAAGATGTAAATTCAAGTTAGATGGTCAGATATATTTATTCTGTATTATTCAGTGCATTAGATAGTGATTCTATGATAATATATTTTTTTTATGTCCTAAGCCTGCCCTGTTTGATTTAACTTCAGCTAATGAACGTCTTTCTTTACTTAACTGACACACAAACCTGTAAAAATAGCATTCTTTTAAAGATGCCTCTTCAGTATAAGGCTAGAACCAGCAACCAATTACCTTAGCTAAGCATAAAGACTGAAAGCAGGGGGAAACAGCTAGCCTCGCTCTATTTAAAGTGAACAAATCTGCCTACCAACAACTCTATATTACCAAGTTATAGTTTGTCTGTCAAAGATGTAGAAATAACAAAAGTGTAGAAACAACAAGTTGTGGTTTTACTGAGGTTAGCTTCTGGGTTATTTCTTGGCCGGGTGCAGTGACTTCCTCAAAAAACAGTCTAGCACAAAAGTGTAAAAACACAACTTGTTTTTACACTTTGGCACAGAATGAAGTCATGTGAGAGAACATTTTGAACAGAGGCAGGCCAACTGTTGCCTCTTGTTTCTATTCTGTCTTTATGCTAAGTGAAGCTAACAGGCTTCAGCCTCATATTGAACATACAGATGTAAGAGGGGTATCGATCTTCTCATTTAACTCTTAAGAAAGCCAATTAGAGTATTTAGTAAAATGTCAAACTATGTGTGTAATCATACGTAGACATATCAACATATTTCAGGGCTGTTGTCTTGCTGTGATGTTCTGTTTCAGACATACAGTATTTTATATACATAGTTAAATATACAGACTGTTTATTAACTTTTGATTGAGTTTGATTTGATTGTTGTTCTTCCTGTTCCTACTTCCTCTCTCCTTCCTTTGCTCCTCAGACTTCCTGTGAAGCCCTCTCATCCTACCTCTCCTCCACCCTCAACCTCTACATCACCAATGTCACCGTAGCCGCCCAGCTGTGCAGCAGCTTCCTGTGTCGAGGGAACGGCCGCTGTGTCCGGAAAAACTACAACTCCAATCACTACCTCCACCTAAACCCTGAGAATTTCAGGGTCATGCACGTTCAGAACCGCTACCTTGTCCTAGGGAGACCGACCATCGCAGACCTGAAGACACTGAGCAGGAGATTTACCTGTCAGTGTTACAAAGGACTGAGCTGCTCTCCCAGGACATACGGAGAGCTCGCCAAGGCCCTGATATTTAGTGTGAAGCAAAGGCTGTACCAAAAGGCTCATACTCTGAATAAAGCCATGTTGGATGATACGCAACAAGACAGTATCACAAAAGACAATGTAAAAAAGAACTTGAAAGTTTAGCTTGTAATCAGAATGTTTTTACTGCCCTGAAGTGCCTTTTTTTTGTTCAAGGAAACACACCACTGTACATTCAGACCTTGGAACTACTCAGTTCAGTCATAATACAGTGCTGCACACCTGGCATGTTTAGTCCACAACCTGATTTGCATTTTGGATGAAAAGTATGCAGGCTTCAGGGACACCTTCAACCATTTTGTCCTCGGCTCACCCTTTTTCATTTTTATGTTATTTGTTTCTCACCACAAATAAATGTTACTGCATTGAGTGACTTAGTGCAACTGATCATCAGGAAGATTGCCAGAGAACAGGACTATAATCTCAAATCAAACATACGAACAAATACTGTGCTATATCACGTATGTAATACCTGTGAAAATACTATTTCCACTGCGCATTTGTATATGATTTGACTCTATATGTAAATAAATGAAAAGAGACAGGCAGCAACAGTGTGGTTGGTTCTGTGTTTAACTTGACGTCACCATACAGAGAAAAGAGGATGACTGGGTATTGAGTGAAGAGCTGTTAAAAGTCTCAGCCTATTTAGTTAATTTAAAGTAGACTACATTCTTATTCTATGTTTAAAATATTAGGTACATAAAGCACATAAACAAATGAAAAAATCAGTCACTCACACTCAAGCAGGTGTTTTTAAGCACAAGTGTGAGTATCAATAATGATTGTGTGTCCTAAACCAGTAAGCCATGACAGTGTGGCATTGAGCCAGCATGCACAGTATTCACAGCGTGCTTTAATAATAGCCTCTACTGTTGATACACTTTCATGCATACTGTATACAGGAACAAAGTAATGAACATGCTTTGATTTTTGTTGACCAGTTAACTTACTTTAGACCATTTCAGAAGCAATACTCTAATGAGAGTGAAAGGACAAATATTATTCCATATTGTTACATTTTTTAATGTAATTTCAGTTTTTTGTGGTGCAAATATTTTAATAAATGTTTAATTGTAAAACACAAAATATGTCCACCTTTATTTCAGCAAACTTTAATTTAAATATAATTTCCAGGTGTTATGGGGCTAACACTTGTATAGTCAACAAATGATCCTCTGAGAGAGTTATTGTCTAACACTACATAACAGTGTTGAGAAAAACTAACACTGGTTGGTGTTAAGAAGTGTTAAATATTAACTCCAAAAAGTCAAAAATGACACCAAAGTAGTGTTAAAGTACCAACACTCCAAAAAGAGTTAAATTAACACTCGTGGCGTGGACCCACATAGACACTTTAAAAGTGTTGAAATTAAATCTGACAGTGTTAATTTGGGTATGCTGATTTTGCTGTGTACCGTGACCCTGAAACCAAAGCAGCAAAATGGAAATCAGCCATAAGTTTGTATTAATCATACCTGTGCTTCCACTACTGTAGAATTTCAAAAACTCTGCTGTGAAAAAAGACCTACTGACATCTCCCTGACAGTTTAAAGATTTGTTGTATCAGTTAGGGCAGGACAGTTTCAACCTTTGCCATTTCTATTTGCACTCAGACTTTGTTGACCTAAGCTACTGTAATTCCCAGCTTTGCTACACCCAGCTTTGACATGGGCAGAGGTCTAATCAGATAAATGAAAACACCTGTGAGGGTGAAAAGGCCTTAATATCCGCATTAATCAATTTTTAGGCCTCTAGAGGGCAGAAGACCTCCATGTTTACCACCTTGACAGGATGTTTTCGGCCATCCAAACGGATTCACTGAAATAACCCAAAACGCTGTAGTACATATGCCAGGCCTGTATGTGGCGCTGTGACACCGCCACACCAATACACTAAAACCGGAAGAGAAACCATGGAGCATGCGCTGTTTACAAACAAGTAGTTGTAGTCCGCGGCGGCTGAGGTTAAAGGCTAGAGAGGCGGGGCTAATCCGTTTTCGCCGTCCAGACGACTCTGGGACCCGTTTCCAAAAAATACCATTTTCACACCACGAAAACGCCGTATCCGTCTGGACGCGAGGCCGATACGATAAAGTATTTATCCGGATTCAAGAAAAACGGATTTGTGAGGACAGGCCCTTAGTCTCCAACTCCTGAGAGAAAAAACTGGGTCATTAGCTTATGAGACTAGCCAGCTAGTAAGTTCTCTAACTTTTCTTTGTTTTGGTATTAACCAGGTGGTTTAGTGTGTGTATTGGAGCTTTTTTTTTTGTCAGAAAATATTTTTTATGGGCGCCGGGTTAGCTCAGTCGGTAGAGCTGGCGACCCATGTACTGAGGCTGAGTCCTTGCTGCAGTGGCCCAGGGTTTGAATCCGACCTGTGGCCCCTTGCTGCGTGTCATCCCCACTCTCTCTACCTCCCTTTCCTGTCTATCTTCAGCTGTCCCTATCAAAATAAAAAGGGCAAAAAAATAACTTTCAAAATATATATATATAATTTATATTATAATTGATAAAAACTTTGATACATAAATATACAGTATGTTTCCGTGTGATCCTGACTTTTTTCACATTACACATAATACAAGTCATTTATTAGTGTCACCTTGATTAATAGAGCCTTACAGGTTAAAGGACCAGTCAATCTATATTACATTTTCCAGGTGTTGTATTTGCTAAAGGATAGCTATTCGTGGCGCAAATTACCAGTCAGACAGTTGCATTTTACTTTACCTGCACGAGACCACGTTTTCATGTTTGTACACAACAGATGTATGCTTCTGATTGAGAGCGCTAATGACTCATGGAGGAGTTAGTGTATGGTATTCCCATTGTGGTGTTGTCAGCAGATACTGTGGGTCACTGGTGTATTGACAGAGGCCTCTGGGTAGTAACCCTGTGAGGTGTGTCTGCTTTTTGTGCGTTTGCTGGCGTCACGATGATCTCCAAGGTGGTTTAAAGAGAGAGACATTTGACCACTTTACCACGTATCAATTAAAATCCAGTCTTGTTCAGTTATTATCATATGGTTCTCATTATTTACTATGACAACATACACTTATACTCATGCAAAGTAAAAAAATATGTAGGCCAGTTCAGTGCTATGATGCTTCATCAGTGCCACCAACCAACAACACACAAACACATGTTGCCTTGACAACGCTCCACATATATACGCTGCAACAGAAAGCACAGTGAGCATCAGAAAACTAAAAGGTCAAAACAGAGAGACATCAGGTAAACGTTTAATATGTGGGCTTTCTGTTGATCTTTCTCGGTTACTCCCCGTGCTGTTTCATTTGTTGAATTTATCACAGTATCTTAACAAGGAAGCAGAGACAACACAAACAGCCTTTGTGTTTACCAGGAACTGATGTGTGGGTTCTGGTATAGAAAGTAACTTCCAGGCACGAAGCCAACTCTAACCAATCACGTTATCTGTTACTTGTGTGTTTGGACCTGTTTCATCAAGATATGGGCAAACACGAATCTAGAAGAAACTCCACCATGGTTGATAATACCAAGCGAGTGTTGTGACTCAGTCTGAAAATAGGTTGCAGACCTTTGTGTTGTTGGTAGCCTATGATAGTGAGTACGTCAACAGAGCTAAAAGACCAAAAGAAAAAAAGAAAAACGTCCCCCTTATTGCACAATCTCTCACAAAACTAACTTGCCTGCAACACTTTGTTTTCTTTATACTTCTCTTTTACAACTGACGTTGTCAGATAAACACGCCACTATAGCTTTTACATGAACTCTATTTTATGATCTATTTTATGATGAGAGCAAAGCAAATGTAATATTATAATAACATAATTGCTCTGAACTGGTTTCCCAACAAACAAAGTAATGACATGAAAGAATGCCAGTCGTACAAGAGAAAAAATTCAGATTTAATTAAAAGTGTAAGTCGTAGAGTACATGCCATTGCAAGTCAGTCACCATTTTTCACTTTAATTTGCATTTTATTCCAACCACTCAAACATTTTCTAAAGCTGTCTCTTTTTTTAAATGGGTGAATAACACAGCACAAAGTAAAGTATGATTAAAATACAGTTATTCGGCCATTAAAAAACTTAAAGAAAGTCTTTTCACTCGTGTGGCTGTGGTTCAAATGTTTAAGAACCTCAATAGCTGCCAAGTTGAATGAAAAAAATCCCAAACACACCAGCTACAGGCAGGCCTCACTAGCACTGTAAATGCTCAGTGCTAGTTTGATTAGTTCTTAAATAATTTAATGTTTTTAAAATAAAATTTGACATCTCTTGTTCACAATTAAATCATCATCTAAAAGTATACAGACAAAATGCAATTTGATTCCTTAATAAAATCAACCACACAGGAAAAAAGAAAATCTGGTTTTATATTTTAACAATGGCGTGCAACAGTTTTCAATGTCGCTCCCACAGCGTACACAGGCATATAATCATTACCCAACCATCAAATCAGACTCTTAAACAGATTTCAAATGAATTCAAGATTTGCCTCCAGCAGATCACAAGCTTATCTAAACATTCAGAAAATACAACTCACCCCTTCATTCAAAAATACAAATGATCATAATTTAGAGGTGCGATTAGAACAAAATACTTCCTAATTATAGAGACATTTTTAAAGGGCAGCTTCATCAATGATGGGACTGATTCCAGCACCAAGTTTAAATGCTACTGTGGGAGTGAAACAGCTTCAGCTGCCGCCAAATCCGTCAGTTTATCAGCCGCTTAATTCTGAACTCCAACTCCAAATGATGGCTAGTTACCTAACAAAGTGACTTGTATAGAGTTAGCTAAGATTTACCACCATTTGCTTAGTCACAGTGCAAGGTACTTAGATTAGTTTAATAAGGCATAAGACTGTTATAAAGCTAATTTGGGTTTTGAACATGCACAAGAGTTTATTTTGGGATATTTAAATGAAAAAGGTTCCTCCTGGATTTGCAATATGTCTGCACTAAATTCACTTCAAATTAAGTTGATTAATGGAATTAAATTAAAAATGCTTTCTTTGAGACAGACGTCGGTGTCAGCTCTGGGCTGCCTGTCTGTCGAGAAATGCATTTGACATGAAATGTCCATCAGTTTGGGGTAAACACACTCAGTAAAAGTACTTTTGAAATGAATTTGACTAGACTTAGAGCAGGAAGCTATAACAAAGTCTCATAAAATAAGGACAAAAACAAGCAATGACTAAACAGACTCGTCCAGCAGAGCTACAGAGACTTATGTAACCAGAGAAGCTTTTTTAGTAAATATTAGCAGTTACACAAGATGAAAACACAGAATGTTCTAGGTTGTTCAATGCATCCAAAATTAAACCTGCAACGATACAGAAACCTACGCCGCTTGTGTTTGTTTATAGAAATTTGCACATACGAGCAGCACCGGTCACTAAGCGGTGGAACCAGTGCTGTTCTGATAATGGGACGAATGCAACCTCAGACAGTCATTAGTTATGCAGATTAAAACATTTTTTATAATCAAAATGTGCAAAAACACTTTAAATATAAAAAGAGGAGCCCCACGGACACCAAGCCTTGTTTGTTTGAG